CCTTCCACCTTACTGTATGCTCAGCAAATAATCCGAGAAGCTGGATTATGTGAAGAAGAAAGCAACATTAGGACTGGAGGAAGACTCATTAACAACCTATGGTATGCAGATTACACAACCTTTCTTGCTGAAAGTGAAGACAACTTGCAGCACTTACTGTTGAAGGTCAAAGACTATATCCTTTAGTATGGATTATGCCTGAGTGTAAAGAAAACAAAAATCCTCACAACTGGACCGATAAACTACATTATGATAAGTTTTGCAGAAATTTGAAGTTATCAGGATTTCATTCTGTTTGGATCTACAATCAATGCCCATGAAAGCAGCAGTCAAGAAATCAAATGACATATTGAATTGGACAAATCTGCTGCAAAAAATCTTTATAAGGTGTTAAAAAGCAAAAACGTCACTTTGATGACAAGGCATGCCTGACCCAAGCCATGGTCTATTCAGTCGCCTCATGTGCACCTGAAAGCTGGACAATGAAAAACGAAGACGGAAAAATTGATGCAATTTGAATTGTGATGTTGGTGAAGAAACTTGAGTATTCTATGGACTATCAGAAGAATGAACAAAGCAGTCTTAGAAAAATACTACCAGAATGTTCCTTAGAAGTGAGGATGGTGAGATTTTGTCTTGCTTACTTTGGACATGTCATCAGGACGTAATGTTTGTTAAAGTAGAAAACCCATCACCGTCGAGTTGATTCTGACTCAGCGATCCTATGTTAAAGTAGAGGGTTAACAAAAAACCAGGGAAACCATTAATGAGGTGATTGACACAATAGCCGAAACAATGGGCTCAAACATACGAAGGATCATAAAGATGGCTCAGGATGGGGCAATGTTTTATTCTGTTATACATAAGGTCTCCATGAGTAGAAGCTGACTCAGTGGCAACTAACAACATTGGCTCTTTGCTCTAAGGAAGAACAAGTGAACCAGAGTTTCTGCCTATCTCCTGAATTTGAAAATCCCTTCCTTCAGATTTACCTACATCCAGAATGTAGCAGCTTAGAATGCCAATTTGCTTTCTCTGTCATTGGTTCTGTTAGTGAAAAGGGAGTCAACAATACCAATATTTTTCTGAGTTTTCATTTTTCTTACCTGACCTGTTAGCATCAATAATTGTGATAACAATAGCAATGGCAGAAAATTACCAGGTCTTAATGGAAAGAATGCTAAATTAAGCTCGGGGAACCTACTTCTAATTCTATATTTTATATTAACAACCTGGCTGACCTTGCAAAATTTATTTAACCTTTCTGGGCATCAGTTTACTTTAGTTAAAGAAGGATCATGGCTGCTCAGAACTGGTGGTTTGCTGTAGCTATATACACTAATGATAGTTCCCCTTATTACAAACATCACTTTACTTAGAATCCATAAGGTAAGAAATAAGTTTTGCAAAACATGCAGGAAAGTTATGATTCTTTATGTATGTTTTCATCTGTACTGTGTAATTATGGAAAGATATTTCAAAATAAGGAAAAAATAAATTTCAGCAGTAAATTAATGCTTGTACTTTTGTGTTTACAGAGTTTTATAGTAACGAAGTATTAAGGATAAATTCAACTATAGTTTTTTTTTCTTATGTTTATTTTTCTGGAAGTATCCATATGCTAGCTAGTATGGGGCCACTGGTTGAAAAAAAAAGGAAAAAAAGCTTTTTTAAAAAATAAATCTGTGAATTAAGGCTTTGAACCTGCAGATGGTGCTATGATCTCATTTTGAAATTCAGTTTTGCTTTCTAGTTTAAATTCATAGGAAAAAATGCAGTTCTTTTAGTCGTTTATTTTTATTCAGGAGTAATAAAATTGAATTATTTCTTTTTATTTTTGTATTTTATTATTATAACGGGAGAAAATTTCTTTACCATTGGAAACCATCTACTATATTTACCTCTGTGAATGCTAAGTAATTCCTTAGACTCAATAATAATCAACCTTTATGTCTTTATTTCTGTAAAATTTTTCTGATTATCTTTCGGCATTGCTTTGTTTGTGACTCTCGATCAGCTTGCTCTGCTTTTGCTGTTCTTAAACAAAATTGCTTCACTGAGAATTGGGTGAAGAAGAGCTAAGAAGATAAAAAAAATTCCACATGACAAACATTTCAACCTTCAGTTTGTAATAATCAGGTAAAAGAAGATTTCCTGGAATTAAGCCACAGGAACTCTGGTTTAAGTCAGAGCTGTCAACTGGGAAAAAAATTTCCAGACATTTTGAAATTTAATTCATTTAATTTTTCTTGTAACTGGATTACAAAATATGATTAAGAATGGCAAGATACGCTTTTACTGAATCAGCCTGACTTTGAGTGAAGCAAATAGATACTAAAAGCTTAAAGTAGAAGAAAGAAAGAAAGATTTAGAGCCATCATTTCAAACAAGAATGTAAAAGAATAAATACACTGGAAATTTTTTTAAAAAATGAACAAAACAAAAAATTAAAAAGTTTTAAACAATGGAAGGGAAGAAGGTATTCCATTTTGTTAATGAAATTGTTTATATAGCTATATTTTTACCTTAAACTCTGATTGAATCTATGCTAGGCTACTTGGAGTTGACAACCCACACGTAGAAATTAAGTATTTTTGAAAATTCTTTAAAAGTACTTTCCAGCTTATTATCTGAAAAGTGATTGAATTGGAAATGTTTAAAAGAAAAAACTGGAGTTGGTATGGGATGGAGGGAGAAAGACAAAATCAATCCATGTACTTATAAAAATGACTAGGATAACTTTAAAAAGGGAAGAAAAAATGAATCTCTCGAGGCATACAGTCTGATAACAACTTATTCTTTGGATCATTTTGAGACAGTGTATGTGAAAGTGCACTGGACGTCATAACACTTTATACGAATATGAAATAGCAGTGCTGTTAATGTTTTATATACCAGCATGCATTTATACTATCTTAGAGCCCTTCTGAAACTTTCATCCAGGGGTTAGTTTCGCCATAAAGGAAAGATATTAATAGAAAGATTAAAAATTATTTCTAGATGCTTTGAAAATTAGGATAGATCTTAAGAAAGATTATATCAGTATCTACATGAATACTGTAAAAATATCAAAGCATTTGGAGAATTAATGCTATGTAATAAAGGAGAATTACACATTTGTAAACATATGAACATAAGTGTTTGTTGCTTTCTGCCTTTGTTCTTGCACATAAAATCCTTATTTTCTGAAGGAACCCCAGTGGCCCTGGCTATAACACCATAATCACTCTCTTATTTCATCATTACTAAATTAAAGATCAAAGCATTTCACATTAAGCTATTTAAAGAAAAATAAATTTTGTTTAAAGAAAAGTAAATTTCCTGTCTATATCTTACATTTTGAAGTTACTATAAATTTGTATAAATCAGACATAATGACAATTAAATAACTTCAAGTCCTATTCATCCCATGGGAGTACTACTGTGACGTCTTTCTGAGAGCTTCGTGATTGCTCAGCCCAGAGTATAAGCCCTATAAAATGATAGGCTTTGAAATGCTTGTCAGGGTAGAGTGAAGAGGAGAGCTGGCAATTCATATGCCAATCCTTAGCCAGTGCGAAGTCTGGGTTAGCACTAAGGGAAGAGAATTGTTAGAGCCTTTCCCGGCCTCACAGGACTTCAGCACCTAAGACAGCTCCAATACTCTCCTTCAGGGCTGAAGGCTCCCAAGGAATTTTACTCAGCAAGGTAAGTGAAAACTTTACTTTTCTTTTTTCCTCTTGGCTTTCCTCTGTTCCTTTGTTCCTTGCTCCCTTCCTCCCTCGCTTCCTCCCTTCCTTCTTTCCTTCCTTCCTTTTCCTGCCTCTGGAACTTTTCTCAGGATATATTGAATTTTTCTCTCTCTTGAAAAGAATTTCACAATGTTCCTCCTTAGCAACAGAAAAAAGGCAAGTTTCTCAAGTCAGCTGGTAAGTGTAAAAATGTCTCAACTTCTTCTCATACGACTAGATTTTCAGAATTCACCCTACCTGCTCTTTCACTAAATACTGTTCTTTTTTTTTGTTTGTTTGTTTTTGAATACATTCAACTGGCTTTTATTTGGTTGCATATAAATTTTTGACTGAAGGATTCATTGGGTCATTTGTTTTTGAAGTTTTCAACCTATTTTTTTAAGTGCTATGCTTTTTATGTCATGTGTTGGTTGATTAAATGAACCTATGAAGCATTTGTTTTCCTCTTTTTTAAGTTTAAATGTTGTCGTCTTTAGCAAAAGAAACAGCTAAAGTTTCTTTTGAACTCCTAAGTTTCTTCCTAGAAACTATTTAGAAATAAAATGTGTAAATGGATTAAATGTAAAAAACACAAGCTTTGTTTTTAAGATTTTTTTTTATTTTATGGTAAAAGTTATTTCAATTATAATTATGTGGTTCAATGATAATTTTTTGCATTAATTTTCACTATTAAGTTGTTTAAACTCAGGCAGGAAATACAGTCTTAGTAATATCTATAATTAGAAGAGAAAAAAGAATGTAGACACAAAATATTTTTGTACTGATATGTATATACACATATATACCCATATTTAGAATTTACCAGAGTAGAAGAATAATCAAATAGTTGATACCCCAGATTCATATTAATTATATACGAAAAGCATAAAAATAGGAGAAACAATTAGTTTCTTGAAGCTGTTTCCCTAGTCAGAAAAATACTTGACCTGGATGTTCCAACTCTGTTATAAGAAGATTGTCCCCAGGGTCATTTCCAGCAATGCAAAAATATACAATATGGCATTCGATATATACTTGGGCCAACTATGTGCTTGATGAGAGATAGGCAGCAGATAAAAACGACTCTAATTTTTATTCAAGCACCTATCACCAGAAGAAATCTTGATTTAAACAGTAACCATATTGTAGTTTAACTCTTTCTACGAGATGAAAGTTACTTTTTCCAAACTTACCAAGGGACTTAAGAAATTACTGCTAGATGTTCAGAATTACCTTGGTGCTGGCACTATGGCTGGACAAGCTGATGTGACTTTCTCCTTTTGAAGGCCCAGAGATGGAAACCAGAAGTAAGTCCCAGCTCCTCCTGCTCCTGACACTTTGCAGTGTCTTCTTCTCACACACGCTGGCATGGCCTCTTCTCAGAGCACCCCCTTCTCTGAGGTGAGTTCTGCTTCAGTTCAGACAGTTGGACATTCCTTCTTCATTTACATGGAAATCTCCTGTATGTCATTTTTGACAACTCATTTTTTTAAAACATGCATTGTTTATTTACATCTCTTGGTTGATGTGTTGAGCAAGTGCTTTTCGACATCGGGTCAACTGGATGATTCCAAGTCCTGGAATTCACTCCCAGGGCATTGGAGACAGTGCCGATTATTAGTCTATGGATTAAGTGAATCACATTTCCAAACAAGGTGGAAGGTGGGTTTGACTTTCCTTTCATCCAAAACCAGTTTTAGATAAGTTTTATCCATTGCCATATCAGCTCAATTCAGTTTCTGAAAAGATATGTTTACTTGCTAATCTCCTTATAGTTTCTTTTCAAGATCAATCAGTAAAACAGAAATATTTTATTTTAAATAATCATGACATTAATATGCTATTAGTGAAATACGTATAAAATCGTGTTGGACAGAATCAGCTTACCAATATTAAAAATTGTGGGATAACTGATTTATTGAGACAATCTTCCCCAATAACTAAACTATAATTATTTGGCTTTAACCATAAATACCTAGTTTCACTGACTTATTATGTTGTATTGCTATTTCAAATTCATAAAGCATAACATAACTCATATTTAAAACTCTATCTGAAATATAATACTTTTATGCTAAAGAAGCAAGCAGTAACTGAAAACAACATTAGCCTGATTTTTCCTTCCTGTTAATAGGCACCACTATATCAAAGACAAAAATAATCTTTTCTTACTTGCCCGTTCCTGATTCTCTGCTCAAGGTGGACTTATGCTCACTTGAGTGAATAATCTCTTAGCTGTTAGTGTTCTCTGTGAAACTGGCTTAAAGCTACTTCCTGTGTTGCTCTGATAACTAAATAGAATGTTTTTATCTGGATGGTTGTATCAGAACAGATGAACACTCACAAGAATGCTCAAATTTGCATTGATTGCTAGGACTTCTTGTTACTGACCACCAACTACTACATCACCAAAGATACACAAGTGCTCAGGAGATGACACATTCCTTGGAAGTTTATCCTAATGGTGCAAATACACGCACACACACATAATTCTAATGATGTGCTGGTTTTCAAATGTGCAGGCATCCACAAATATATCCCATAGATAGACATGACTATTCTTAATCTTCTAGTATAGCATCGTATATCCCTTATTAAAATTTTGTTAATACATAAGACTAGAAACCAAAAGTTCACAAAAATTGCTAAGTTTAAGTAACTATGCATAGATGGATGAATTCTTTTGACTCAGTCAATAAAGAGAAATGTAGCCAGCCAAGATGAAGCTCTAAAGTAAAGTTGAAGGACCTAGAGAGAAAAAAGCAGTTCATACTCAGTTCTTGATGTTTGGAACAAATGATATTAAACATCAACATAGGCACAAATTGCTCCAATTTCAATACTTAATATGAAACAGAATTCCAAGTTTCTATCTTGGATAAAAATTTTCTACTTGTAAAGTCTTTTCACTTTGCAAAATGAAGATATTATCAAGAAAGTGCACTTTGCTTAATACTCGGATAGGACTGAATGAAATAGCTCTTATATTTGGTACATCCAGCTAGTACAAGTTGTCTGATATCAATGTTATGGGATTTTCAAATATTTGCCTTCTTATATTCTCATAACCACAGAGGCCATTAAGTTCAATTATGCTATCCATATATTGTGAATGAGTGATACTTCCCAAGATTTTTAGTTTCTTATTTCAAATTGTTGTAAAACCACAAGCACTTATAAGAAAGGGAAAGAATTATACTTGTGCTCTATTTTTCCTTAATAGGTTGGGTGACAGCATACCATTTGAAGGAGCAAGTGAACCTGATCAAGTTTCATTAAGGACAGACACTGACATCTTGCAAAACGCATTTGCTGACAATGATACACCCTATTATGATGTATCCAGGTGAGTTCACTGAGTTTTATTTTAGAAATATAAATGTTTTAGTGTTATTTCAGTCTGAAGCTATTTCTTTAGCATAGTGCTATAGGCTTCCATGTGTCTTGGCTTCATTCAGCCTGATTTACTGAAGCTCTATTGACTGTACATGATTTTTACCTAGAAAGGTTGTAACAAGCCAGGATGAACAAACCACTCCCTTACATTCTGTCACACAGAATTTCAACATCACAGATTGTTCCAACCCTGGTAAAACCATAGCAGTTAGGATTCCATGATGGAGTAGGTTCTAATGCAAGAGTTTCATCTCAGTGTGAAGAAATGGTGTCTAATGGTTAGAGCTGTGTGTTCCTTCAACTATTTTGTCTAGAGCAGCATTCAAAAACAGAGTAGCTCTATGGTGAAGGCAACGTATAAAAGGTTCCTCATTTACATAAAAAGGTTGGACAACAGTCCATAAGGTTCTCTCTATCTTAAGAGATTTTGTTTGCAAATATTTTGGCAGAAGAAATAACAAAAATAATATTTTACTCTTACATATATTTTTATTCAAGACAGTAGAAATAAAGCTCCATAAACAAATAAATAGAAACTAGTTTAAATATATTTTTCACACCAATATGTCTTAGAGAAAAATTAGTTTTAAGGATTCTACTAAGGAGTATTATTTAATATTTAGAAATACTTGCTAAAAAACTAATTTTTTAAAACTTTTTCAAATTCTTAGGTTGGAAATATAGAATATATCTTGTTACAAATGACTACAAAATATTTTTTGTTAGGTTGTTATGAGATCTCCTTTTGAACTTGAAAAGAAGCTTTCATAATAAACTAAGTTCCTTTGTTATTTAACGAGCCAAAATTATATTTTAGAAAACAGTTTACAAAATAATAGCTATCCTTTCCTCCTTATTTTAGAAATGCCAGACATGCTGATGGAGTTTTCACCAGTGACTATAGTAGACTCTTGGGTCAACTTTCTGCCAGAAAATACCTTGAGTCCCTTATTGGAAAACGAGTTAGGTAAAGAGAATTTATCATTTTTATCAAAATCATTATCATTACTTAATATGCAAATTGTTATTTTCGCTGTAAACAATTTATTATTCAAAATTGATAACCTTTTGATAATGTTTGATTTCGTTAGGCAAGAATAATTTATATTTCTGAATAAAGTATACCAGGCCCATGGATTAAAAAAATAAAGCTTTCTAGTAATATCATGCTGCCTCCAGGCACACTTACTTTTCTTAAATAGAAATCATTTACAAATCTGACATCAAACTGGACTAGATACATTAAAAAATAAATAAGGGATAGTAAAAACTGAAGCAAATTTTTAAGATCAGCTATAAGACTTGTTTTTTACTTCCTGAACGAACCAAGCGTGGGGGTGGTTCTTTCTTTAAATGGCAGATAGCTGAATAATTAGGTGGCACTGCTGAGAGAGGCATAGCTTCTAAAGAAGCATTCATATTTAAACAACTTTTACTCCTTATCATAGAACACTAGTTCAAGTATCCCCTCATTTATTTATTTATTTTTTGGATAAATTATTTGCTCAGTTAGTACAGAATATGCCTTAAGGCAGTCCCAGTAAATGCAAAACCGTATCTGATTATTCCTTGTTCCTCTAGGCTTAGGCTCAGTGTATTTTTCTTTTAGCTTTTTTATGATCAGAAATGAATTGGGTTGAAATTCCTTTTTATATAACTCCCCCACCCAAAAAAATTGGAACGCTGGCACATTTACCATTCCTTGTTAAAATATTTTGATTTCCTTTCATCACATTCCTTAGCAACAACATCTCAGAAGACAATTCACCAATCAAACGTCACTCTGATGCAGTCTTCACTGACAACTATACCCGCCTTAGAAAACAAATGGCTGTAAAGAAATACCTGAATTCAATTCTGAATGGGAAGAGGAGGTAAAGAAAAAGAGAACTTGCTAAAATGAGAAATTATGCATGGCTTTCAAAACACAAACTTTGTATAGAGACTTTCCATCCTATTTTGGGGTTTACACTTGCCCAGATGTGATGGGCAACCTCGGCTCATGTTAGGCTACCCTGGAGAATTGTAGACATACTAACATCGAGGCCTTACTCAAATCCAATCGTCAGGAAATCAGTGTCTCTGTGTTGGGCCCTCGACATTGCAATTGTTTTAGTTGATTCTACTGTAATGCCTGGGCTGCTAGCACAGTGGTTAAGGGCTCTGCTGCTAACCAAAACGTTGGCAGTTCAAATACACCAGCTGCTCCTTGGAAATCCTATGCGCAGTTCTACTCTGTCCTGTAGGGTTGCTATGAGTCGGAATTGCCTCAGCGGCAATGGATTTTTAACAGGCCTGGGCTGATAGTGATGGCTGTGGAGACATCCAGACTGAACCTGGGAACATATTTTATCAAAAGAACTGATTTAACAAGAAAGAAAGATGGGAAGAAAGAAAGAAAAATGCAGTCAATCAACAATTTAGTAACATGGAAACTTTGAAGTCTACTTTTCCCTCCATGTGCCTATACAATACCCTTATTTTACCAAATGAAACCATGAATATTTTGTATTTTTAGATTCTATAAAACCTACATCTCCCTCTGGTGTGTATATATTGGAGCAAAATACCTAGGAAGTGGAGGTCTTTCTCTTCTTTCCCAATTGATTTTGTTTTTACAATGAGCTTTAAGGATAATTCTGTTTGGATGAGAAGATCAGACAAGATGACTCTCTTTGCCCACCAGATTATAATTCTGTAAGAGTTATTTTAAACACTTTAAGACTGAGTAACAATGTATACATAATAATATGTTCATATATAATACTCACTAGCCTCGGAGATCATTGTTTTGTCCCAAGTGCGCCTTGCAAAGCACAGCGGACAACGCAGGTCACACATAATTGTTTCCTTTTTTTTTTAGTACACAAAAAGCATTTGGAGTGGAGGTACCTGAGATAGCTCTACAGACCTCAACTACCCTTATTTAAAAAAAAAATTATGTATTTTGTTGTTGTTGAGAATATACACAATAGAACATAACACCAATTCAACAGTTTCTACATTTATATTTCAGTGATATAGATTACATTTTTCAAGTTGTGCAACCATTCTCACCCTCATTTTCTGAGTTGTTCCTCCTCCATTAATGTAAACTCACTGCCGCCTCAGGTTCCTATCTAATCTTCTGAGTTGCTGTGATTGTTTCTTTAAAGTGTTCTCATTTAAGAGGCATGACACTCACAATATTCTTTTTATGGTCTGCAGCAGTGAGGGAGAATCTCTCGACTTTCCTGAAGAGTTAGAGAAATGATGAAAACACTCTTTGGAGCAAAGCTGCTGACAACTTCCCAGTGGTGGGTACATCTGTGCGTTCTTATTGTATTCTTATAGCAGCCACCTAATTATTTAAGTGGGTAAGCGTCACTTGACAGGCTTAAATAATTTCTCACAGTGAGACATCATCTAAAAAAGACACTTCTCTCTGAAGTGAACCCCAATCCAGTAAATAGATTTAAATTATTCATGTAATGTTCTGATCATGTAAGAAAGAAAGCTCCCAATGAGCAAACTGAATAGTTCTCCTAGCTGTCTCAGACATATTCCGAGTCTTGTGTTGAGAAATAAAACAGAGGAGACTAACTCACACTAATAAGAAAAATTGGTTTCCTTTTCGAGAATCAAGCCATGTTGTTTTTATTAATTTAGAGTTTAGTCCTACAATTGACTGTTATCACCTCATTTAATTGAAGTACAGGGAAATGCAATGTCAATACTGCATGACTCACTATTATGAAAATACCAAGGCACTTGGGGTCTAATTGTATTCTTTGAAACGTAACAAACCTCATGCAGCAAAAGTCAAATTTGGCTTATTTGACCTATAGTGAGTGTAAGTACTATGACCCCAATAGCATTCATTGTAAAATATTTTTTGAGTAATGAAAACAATAGTAAGTTTTTTTTCTTTGTGACATGATGCACTTGTTATCAAAATTGCTTTTATATAAACATGGGTACAAGACATACTCATCTCCCAAGTTATTTTATACTAATGTTCACATTAAGAAACCAATCTTGTTGCCATCGAGTCAATTCTGACTCATAACAACACTATAGGATAGATTAGAGCTGCCCCATAGGGTTTCCAAAGAGCAGCTGGTGGATTCAAACTGCCAACCTTTTGGCTAGCAGCCGAGCTCTTAACCATTGCACCACCAGGGCTCCAATGTTCACATCAGCTCATAAAATCCATTTATAGTAGCTGACAAGTGCTTAAAGGAAATTTCATGCCATAACTATATCAGGGTTGGCAAATGCTTTCTCTAAAGGGCTAGAAAGTATTTTAAGCTTTGTGGACCATATGGTCTGTGTTACAGGGAATCAGCTCTGCCATTGTAGGGTGAAAGCAGCCACAGGTAATATATAAACAAGAATGGGTGTAGCTGTGTTCCAATAAAACTTTATTTGCAGAACTAGGTGGCAGGCCAGATTCTCACCCCTGACTAGGTCATGGAGATTAAACGAGCCCCATGCTCAGACTGAAGGCAATCATAGTTTTACCTCAGTTGCTGGATGGCAAAGTTTCCATGAAAGTCATCAAGAGTGCACAGGTTGACTGGGGAGACACCTGCCTGATTGTCTTTGTCCACTGATGACCCGTTATCCTCTAAGGGAGATACGAGGTCATTGGCTGTACATGTCAATTCCTATCGTGGACAGATATTTCAGAGAAAACAAATCCCTTTCCTCAAAGAGGAAAGTTTATTACAATCAGTTTCCTGAAAAAAGAATTTATCAGAAGAAGCTTTCTTCAAATTAAGAAATACAGTAGGCACTAAAATATAAAAGGATTAATCACTCTTTTCTATGTTGTAAGTTCATTTATGAGTTTGCAGTCTCTTTTTTTTTTTTTTTCCCCTCTTCTTTTTTGAAGAGATAGCTTTGGACAAATTTTTTTCTTTTTTAACAGGAAACCCTGTGAGTCATCCATTTGTAAAAACTCAGAATGGATAATTATTAATGACCAACTAGTGGGCTCCTTCACATTCTGGTTGCTTTTCTGACAGTTAGTCCTTTGGAAGACATCCTCTTGATAACACAGATGATGATTCTCTGTCATAGGCTGATGACAAGGGGCAAAGAGAAATAGATCTTTATCAAATGAGTCAATGAGTGAATGATAACTAAGATGTTGCAAATAAAAAATATTTTGATGCCTAACATATCAATTCTTTCTTTTTCAGAATTCTTGAAGGAAATGATAAACAAAGTAATTATATTTTGAGTTCTACATAAGTATTCAAGAAAACAACTTCAATATCAAAACCAAATAAAATATATTGTGTTGTGAATGTTGTGATTTATTTCTTCTACTGTAATAACTGTGATGTTTATACTGTAAATATTATTTTAGAGTTCTAAAATTATCTTTAACTCATGAAATTACTGTAATTTTACATGCTGTGTATTCTTTCTAACAAAAATGCATTTAACGATAAGTAGATACTAGGTTAATTCCAATTATGTGAGCCTTTTTGGAAGAGTAGTAATAGAGCAAAATTGATGTGTTTATTTATAGAGTGTACTTATCCATTCAGAAGAGTATAGCAAATAATCAGCTTGTCTAAATTTGAAAGTTAAGCAGATAGAATAGTCTGTTAAATAGCCCTCAAAATGTCTAAGAGAATACTAACAACAGTGATAAAAAGACATTCTTCAAAAAAAATTTTCACAAAATGTTGTGCTTTTCCACATTTCTAGGCAAACTTTATTTGGAGTGGGATTATAAATCTCTCAGATTTGGATCTGGAATTGTCAAAGCCTATCTTCTGCTCTAGTGTTTTAGTTAAGGAGAACGGCCCCACTTTGGGCACAATATACCTTCCCATTCTGTTTGTGTTAAGTGTGTGTAAAATGAAAACTGAATGGAAGTCTTGATTTTCAGTAATAGTTTTTTTTTCTTCCATAATCACTCGGAATACACCTGTGGTCATATCAGCTTCCTTACAGTGAAAGGACATTTGGAGACGCAACTATTTTTTCAAAATGATTGTAAGAAATTAACTATAGAAAATAAAGACATTTGATTATCATTGCAGATACTTTGTTTTGTTTTGATTTTTTAAAAGGATTCAGCAGTAACTCTTTTTAGCTCTAAAGTTCCAGGCATGAGGCAATTTTTATAGTGTTTGAGGTAAGATTATATTTCATCGTATGTTGTTGTTGTTAGCTGCTGTCGAGTTGGTTCTGACTCATAGCAACCCTATGTACAACAGAACGAAACATTGCCTGGTCCTGCGCCATCCTCACAATCATTACTATATTTGAGCCCATTGTTGAAGCCACTGTGTCAATCCATCTCATTGAAGATCTTGCTCTTTTTCTCGGACCCTCCACTTTACCAAGTATGACGTCCTTCTCCAGGGACTGGTCCCTCCTGATAAGATGTCCAAAGTATGTGAGATGAAGTCTCATAATCCTTGTTTCTAAGGAGAATTCTGGCGGTACTTCTTCAAAGACAGATTTGCTTGTTCTTATAGTCCATGGTATTCAATATTCTTTGTGAACACCATGATTCAAAGGTATCAATTCTTCTTTGGTCTTCCTTATTCATTGTCCGGCTTTCGCATGCATATGAGGTGATTGAAAATACCATGGCTTGGGTCAGGTGCATCTTAGTCCTCAACGTGACATCTTTGCTTTTTTGACTGCATGTAAGAGCCCTAAAATAAGTGACTTAAATTAAAAAAAAAAAAAAGTTTCTTATGCAAGACCGGAAGTAAAATGTCAGGGACTAGTATGATTATTCTGCTCCATGAAGCCCTTGGTAATCTAAACCCCTTCCACGTTATTCCTCATCTCCAGGAGTGTAGTCCTTCTCCTCGTGATCAAAGATTGCAGCTAGAGTTCCAGCCATCAAATCTGCCTTCCAGGTTGCAGGATGGCTGAAGGGACAGGAAGTAAAGGGAGCAAAGGTTGTACTTTTAACTATATATTTTACACCAACGTCCCTTTGGCTAGGACATAGTCCTGTGACCACAGTCCTTTGCTGAGAGGCTGAGAAACGTAGTCTTTTCCTGATTGGTTATGTGCCCAGCTAAAAACTGGGATTCTATTTATATAAAACAAGAAGAGACTTCACCACAATAGAACAAAAATTAAAAAGTAAAAATAAAACAATGAAAGAACAGAGTTCTTCCTGTGGCCCTGATGATTGTGACTGACCCAAGGAAAAGAAGAACATTCATTTTATCATTACTTATATTTAGCAATAATATCTAATGCACAGTTATCAATACAATAACTCTTCACAATTGAATTACATTTTAAGGCATTTACAGTATAAAAGTTATTAGAGACTTCCGGCAAGATGGCGCTCTAGGCAGAAACACCACGCCGTCCCTCCACAACAAAGATCCGAAAAACTAAGCCAAACAGAGAATCAACAATCCTGAAACCCTAGAACATCAAATGAAGAGATA